TAGTAACAAGAAGCTACTAGGGGCTCCTGGCATCGCTTCTAGTAACAAGGTCTTTCTTGGTACCGGACAATCGCCACCGTGCTCCGCGCGTCGCCATCGGGACCGGATCACTGACCTGCCAGGGTCCCCCGCAGCCAGCTGCTCCGCCGTTCACCAGCGCCAGCGCTTTACCTCCAGTTGGGCCAGGCAAGAGGATCCTCTTTTTCACGTGAGAGTCACGATCAGCGATAGGGGGCGACGAGAACCAAGGAACCGTATGAGTAATCCTCTCATCTTCTTCATCCTCTGTGAACTCCATTGAGGACCTCCGAATTTGCAGATCCGCACGAAACGAACAGGCGTTTGTGGAGGAGGTAAGCGACTGAGAAACGACGAAGCTCAGCAACTAGACCGTTTCACGTGGTTGACACGGGGACGCCAGCGAAGTTGACTACTTTCCTTCGACCCAGCTGGCCCTTTGTGGAACCCAATGGTTTAAACAATGCATAGGTTGAGTGTCAATCAGGACAGTCAAATTTTGTGGGATCTTGTGGATCTCTTCCGTGCAAGTCTTTCGCGGGCTGCGAAGAGGATATGTGCAAATATACCCCTTGTTACTAGTAGCGATGCCCTTTGTTCCTAGTAGCGATGCACTTGTTACCAGTAGCCCTCCCTGAAACAATCATGGACGCTAAGCAGACCCGCTTGTAGAGGCCCACCTTGGTCTTCCAAGTGCCAAACTGTTCTACGACTCCACGAGTGAAAACACGATCTCAGGGAGCTCCACTTGCGCCGAATTGATCAACTCCCAAGCTGGGAGCTCATGCGGACCCTTTTGCCCGTGCAAGTGACCAGGAATGAACAAAACAGCCTTAATTACACCGGCAAGGGACCCCAAATAGTGTAAAGAGGAACAGATGGAACATGGCATCACGTGGAAGGAAAGAAGGAGCACACAGATGAAAGCACAAATATGAGAGGAGACATACAAGAGCACAAATGTGAGAGTGCACAGATGAGAGCAGCAGATGCGGAAGCATGTGAAAGACCAGAGGGACCAGGCGTGAGGCTGTAAGGAGGAGAGTGCGACCAACGTAGTGCCAAAAATGCTAGAGTAGTATGGCTTGAAGGTCGTTGTAAAACAAAAAGCTACGACTGCAGACGCGCATGTTTTCCGCGGTGGCAAGCTGCGGGTGCGTGCGACTCCGATGACGGAGGTGGTCGAGCCAACAACTTCCAAAACGGCAAGTTCATTGAAACTCAAAACCCTTCAAGAACATCTGCACATCGAGATTCACGAGCACAAGTGAGAGCACACATATGAGAGCATATGGGAGCACATATGAGAGCACATGAGAGCACACATCTGAGAGCACAAATGTGAGAGCACATACAAGCACAAATCTGAGAGCACATAGGCGAGTACATAGGAGCATTTCGAAGTTCACAATGTACTGCGCCTGCCACGAAATCTGCACATCGAGGTTCACAAAGTACTGCGCCTGCCACGAAACCTGCACATCGAGGTTCACAAAGTACTGCGCCTGCCACGAAATCTGCACATCGAGCTTCACAAAGTGCTGCGCCTGCCACGAAATCTGCGCATCGAGATTCACAAAGTGCTGCGCCTGCCACGAAATCTGCACATCGAGATTCACAAAGTGCTGCGCCTGCCACGCAATCTGCGCATCGAGATTCACAAAGTGCTGCGCCTGCCACGAACCCTGCACATCGGAGATCCAAAATGAGCAAATTGCACGAGGCTTTCGCAAATTTTGAAATGCGTTTCAGAAATGCTGTGCCTGCCACGAAATCATGCCTGCAGGTCATACGAAATGCTGCACTGGCCACGCAAAATCATCCTCAAGGTCAAAGTCCAAAAATGCGACCCCTCTCACGACTTCAGCCGTTTCACCTCAAAATATCGCATCCATGGTGCGGATTCCCTGCGCCTGCCACGTGAAACGCAGTCCTGCGAATGACACACGCCTGCCAACGTTTTTGCAACGTCCACAAAACACTGCGCCTGCCACGAAATTTGCAAAGTCTCCGATTCCTTGCACCTGCCACGTAAAATGACCTTTTCGAGGCTCCAATGTGTCGAATTCCTTGCGCCTGCCACGCGAAATTCACTTCAGGTCCGAAAACGAGCACGGCACCTGCACGAGAGCTTTGTCCCGGAAGCGCGAAAACCGCAACCCCCACTTTATGCGAGCCTGCGCAGTCGAAATGGACATGAGGAATTCAAAAAGTAACTTTTGTGCGAGCCGGCCCACGCAACATGCCGGGGCCACACGCGCGAACCCTGATCTAAATCCGCTTAACTCTTACCGTAAGAACCCCTTAGTGCGGAGCACTATTTGGGGAAAAACAGCTGTTGTCGGTGCTTCCGGTGTTTCAGCTGCTATTGTTTGAGATACCCAAGCCTAGATGAGTCTATGTACGAATGGGGAGACCTCCCCAACCAATAAGCATTTAACATAGTTGTAACATTTGTCAGTTTTTAGTCATCTGCAATATTAGCATTCTTTCCCGGAAGCGCTGACATTGCTCCACTTGCCTTCCGACACTCTCACTCTCTCTCTCTCTCTCTCTATGTGTGTAAACCGCTCTCACACGCGGACGAGCTGAAATCACAGACGTGCAAGTTTGTTTCCAGTCATTCAAACAGCAGCAGGGGGAACTGGGCACTCTGTGACGGACCCACAGAGTGGGATATTCGGACTGATCATCCGAATGTACCTGCCACATGCTTCAGTTTTCACTGGAATGGCAACTGGGCTGAGCCGAGAACCCAGCATGAGACATAGTCCACTCTTTTTTTGTTGCAGGCTGTTGCAGGTTAACCAAGTCAACTGTTTCTCCTTAGTTGACGGTGTTGCACCTGCGCATGTGTTCTGGAGGTCGTGGACTTAGGAGGTCAACGGCTTTGACACCGTTCTAACGTCCCACAACATCACTCTACCCAGTGTGTGTGTGTGTGTGTGGCCATTGCTGTTTGCTCTGGCGTGTAGACCGTGTGGTCAGGTTCACTTCCTTGCTCTGTCTTCGTCAACAAATCTGTAAATCGAGCATCACCAAACTCAGCCAGGATTCAAATTGAAGTTTCCAGGATGAGGGATCATCTCCCGTGAACGTGTCTGGACTTTTCAATATCTTTGTTGCACTCTCAAGACCTTGTGCTGTTGAACCTGAGGCTTTGGCGAAAGCCTGTGTTGCTTCTGTTGCTGCTTGCGCTGCACTTGTTGCTGCGCTTGCTAGTTGCGACATCTGCTGTAGGATTTGTTGTGTTTCCATTCCGTTTGCTGTACTCAGCATTGCCACCATCATGAAAATCAGAATTGCCGTTTGTTTGCCATGCGACCCAAGTGGCTTCTCCTATTCTCTTTTCTTCTTTCTTTCCCTTTCACTTGAAAGTCTCGAGAGCATCGAGTACCGCCCACCCAGGATTGGCTTCAGGCATTGGGACCGCCAATCCCGTGCACCGCTGGCCGGGTGCAGGCGACATACCACTCTGTGCCTTTGAGGCCAACCCATCACCGCGATGGTGATGGATGACAGCAAGACACATGGGCTAAGTGCTTGCTGGGGGCACAGGCATACCGTGCTTCGTCTACTCTGAGCGAGTTGTTGAAGCGTCCCAAGCGGTATTGCTCACGAGTGGTGACAGAGGGGAGGCCATATACTGTGAACGTGCCAGGTCTGTGTGTTTGCCAACTCGTGCGATGATGCCTTTGTGCATGAGTTCTCTTGCGGTGTTGGTCGTCGCCGTGGTTCTTCTTTCATCATCCTTGGCGTAGTGTTTGCTTTTGGCCTTTGGCTCCGTAGGGGTGTTCGTTCCATAGGCGTATGATGCATTGAAACCTGTCAATATTTCAGAACACGTTTCCTTAACCCCTTCAAAGCGAATCCTTGTAGAGGGTGCTGCAGCACTTGATGAGTCGGATTGCGTGTGATTTCGTTACTTGTGCTACTTCACAGCGATCCTTTTGATGCCAGTGAACGGCAGAAACTCGTGACTCCAGCGCTAGTAGGGAGGCCATCGCTAGTACTCACCTGCAGCTTTTCCTCCCCAGACCCCTCAAAATCCTGGCAAGCCAGGCCTCGGCATGGGCGCGCTGCCTCCGGTGCCCGTCTCTGGTGCTGGGCCTGGCCCCTGGGGCACCCCACCGCCACTGCCCCCGGTGGCGCCTGGGCGGCAAGCTCTTGCGGGGAAGAACTTGGGAAGGTCTAGCCGTAGCCGGCGTAGCAGGTGGTTTCTGAGCTTGACTTCAGATTTTGGAGGAGGTGGATCAAAGATTTAGGGGGTTCAACCGGTCAACTACTGCTTGAAACCCTTAAAAATAAGGGTTCCCCTCACATTCTCCATTTCAAGGGCACTCCATGGAGCTCCATATGGAGTTTGGGATTGAATTCAGATGCATTCCTGATGATTTCCGAAGTCAAAATATGGGTTCAAGTGACTCAGGCCTCAACCGAACGTCCTTGGATTTCTTTCGATCTTGACCGTTGTTGAGCCGTCGGGCCCCTTCTCAGGTGGCACCTGCATGTTGTCCACCGTGGTGGAGTGCTCGGGGGCCCTGGAGAAACGGCCGGTGGAAGAGGATGGTGAGACTCCAAGCATGTCGACCTTGCAGCACGTCAACATCACAGCATTTGCCAATTGCTCAGACACACCTCGGACCTAGAACCCTTTTGCTGAAGACAAATTGATGACTGACTAGGCACATCTAGGCACATCTAGGCACATGGTAGCCATGTGAAAGAGTCCGCTTGTGCAGCGGACTGTTCTTTCCACAGAGTTTGCGATGATAGCCTTGGAGGGAAGAGCAACATGCACAAGCCGGGTTCTGGCCAACCTCTCGGAAGATATGGCAGCCATGTCCTCTCAGACTTGATTGGTTGGATCAATTCCCATCACTTTGTCCAACCCCACCAAAGCAACACACCCAGGTGGGCTTTAGTGACTTTAGTGAACAACGTTGCATGTCCCTTGTGGATGAATTGAACCATGGTTTGTAATTCAGTCAACACATTGCAACACAGATCTCGCAGGGTCATCAACCAAAGCGTTACTTTTTCATCATGCTACAAACTGAGGCAAGGATTTCCTGCAGAAACATAGCAACACTTCCACTCACTCCACTCCCTTGGTAGCAGTGACTGCCGGAGTTACCTCAGGTGATGCCCCGCCGCTCAACTGAGGCCCGACCGGGTGGTAGACTTGTAGAGAAACGTTGGGGGCCAGGCTAACATGATAAAGTTCATGGATGGTTAAGTGATAGAATAATAGATAGACGATTAAACACAATTGATGTTTCAGGGTTCTTTTAGTTCTTCTTGAATGACCGAGTCTAACTATGGGACACAAAAACAACTAGCGGAACCAGCGCGACGCGTCAATATAGGTTTTCCCGCTCCACGGCCGTGAGGACTTGTTTGTGCCCCGAGTTTGCCCTTAATCTTTTGCAAGAGCAAGAAGCTACGAACGGAGCAAAGGGCATCGCTACGAACGGAGCAAGGACGCTACGATCGGGGCTCCTGGCATCGCTACTATAGTAGCAAGAAGCTACTAGGTTGGAGGCCATCGCAAGTATGGTGGAGGCCATTGCTATCAGCCTTTTTTTTGGAGCAAACGTGCGCCGCTATAACCCATCACCTGACCGTCACATACTGTCGCAGTGGATCGGATCGTACCCAAAGCAGTGTTCGAAAGCACCTTGGTTGGGCCTGGGTGGATGAAAACACGGAGGAGTCATAGCTTCCGAGTAGATTCCAAGAGCTGAAGAGATCCAATCCTTCTGCAGCCCACCTTCCAGTTGTAGAAACGATCATTTTGAGAACGCCAGGCCCTGCGGAGCTTCTTGTGAGGCCAAAAATGAAGCGTGAAGTGCGAAGCGGAAGTTGGGAACTGGCGTCGCTAGGTATGACATTAAGATTTCTCCACCCATGTTTTCCTCCAAACAAAAAACATTTCAGGGGAAACGGGTGTACATTTTGGTGACTGGGGCGAAAGAAGTTTCAGCCTCAGACTCAGAACAAGCCAGGTCCTTCACGTGTGTGAAACAAATGAACCTGCTTCTAGTGACATTCAAGGAACTTTGAGTCTGTCTTGTTGAGGGGTCTTGATGAATCTTTATGAAAGGAATCAAACAAGCAGAAGGTCCCGTTGGTATGTGCATACCTTCTGCTAAATCAGCATGGAAACAGCCCTGGGAAGATTCAGATAAGCACGGCCTTCATCGTAGAGGTGTTTCACCTTCAATGTCTGTTTTGCGGAGGTGCTCTGGGAGCAGGAATCCTGAGTCACCGCGTGTTCGTGCTTGAACTCGACCTGAGCCGAAGCAAACGTCCTGAGTCCAATGAGTCCAGTCGACCATCGCGCTGTTGCTGCCGTAGCTGTGGCCGTCGTTGGTTGAACTGTTCGAGTCTTGCAAGCTGCCGGGCGCGAACTCGAAGACCTCTGAGGCTCACTCCGGCTCAAAGATGTGGGCCATCAATATGATCGCAAAAGGTACAATAAAGGGAGAAAATCATCCTTAACAATGCTTGAAGCTCATGAAACTGGCCATGCATGAAAGCCTTTTGCGGCCAAAAAAGTCGAAGGACGTCGGGCTGCAAAGGGACAGAAGCACAGCTATTTAGATGCATTTGGAAAAAGGACTACCACCAACTCAGGTCCTTCTATGTCTATGCAGGCCTATATCCAGTCCGGCAGTGTTTGTAAAACAAGGAGATCTTTGCAGTTGCGACCCCTCGAAAGGAACATCGATGAAATTAGCAGAGCTCTCAGCGAAATCAGCGGAATTCGTGAAGCTTTTGGTCTCGGATTCACCTCCTCAACATCAGCAGCCACCCACCCTCCAGATTGGACGCACATCCATCCCGCGCCCCGTGCGGGTCCTTCAATGGACGCCTCTTCTTCCTCAGCGCCGGCGTCCAGTGCTGCTGTGAGGCCGGTGGGCAGTGGCGTTTTTCTTTGGAAGATTTTGGAAGGTCACTGAACCTTTAAAGGGGGAAGATGGGAATGGGCCAGATCGCCCAACGGTTGGATCATAGAATCATGTGGCGCGGTGTCGACCGACAGCGACACCGAACGGTCGACCGGTCGACCGGTCGACCGGTCGGTCTGGTGCTACTGGTCTGCCAGATCACTTGTTTTCTTTTCTCTTCAGACCTTGAGATAAACATCGTCCTTTTCTTTCCCTTTGCGCCGAGTTCCCGGGCGAACCTTGGACGAGGAAGTATATGGCAGATTGACTACTGAGGAAGACCATCTTGGGGCATTTCGGATTGTTGAGTCTGCTTGTCCCACTTTCCAGATGATGAGCACCGCTGATCCTGAGTCTTCCCTTATACCCTATGGATCCAGCCGTAACTTCTCAGAAGGTGATTGGAGACACTCTTATGTAGGTGGTTTGGAGGGTCCAAGTACTTTCTGAGAAGGTAATTGGATCGTTAGAGATTGATCGCCTTATCGAATCGAACTGTGCTCTTTTTGGTATCAGTGGAGGGGGGACAACTCAGCGAGGGTGATCGGTCACTCCACTGTGTCCACCTCACTGGAGCCAAACCAGACTTCTGAACAGGTTCTTCATGGTCCTTCCACATCCAAACGCATCCAAACGGAGAAGCACATCCAAACGCGTGTGTGCGTGGGAACAACACGGACGTTCCCCGGTCGCGTTCCGCTGGCATGCGCTTTTCCCGCCTCTTTGGGACGACCGTCAGGCGCCTCCGCCGGGACCTCGAGGTGCTGCGCAAGTCGGGGAATCCGCAGATCTTGGTACGACCGGCCGAGGAGACCGACCGGTCACCAAGAAATGGGAAGAAGCACCGGCTGCGCTGGACCGAGTAGTTAGGTGGCATCCTGGTCACAAGAGACCCCTACCAGTCTGCCGAAACCCGGAAAAAATGAAGGATCCGTCTAGGCGCGCCGGCACGAGCCGCCGCAGGAGAATCTGCTGGAGTGGCATTTTCTGCTGCATTCACTGCCGGACGACACGCCTTACAGCGAGGGCTGCTACCATGGGAAGGTCAGAGACCTAGAGAGGACGATGTCGATCATCGAGATAGCTCGGTCTTTGTTAGCTTGGTCTTCTATGTTCTTCGAATGGACCCTGGTATGTGGCGGGTCGTTCGGCAGGCGAACACATGACAACGTAAGGCGCTGTGGTGGCCCAGAGCCACAGGGAGAAGACCCTACCAGATTTTTTTGCTCCGATGTATGGCTTTTGGTGGCCCAGTTCATTCAAACTGAAGGGAGTGGCTATTGCCTTGTGTCAAACCAAGCCCAGCCGGGCCGATTCCATCGCCGGATCTGTAGACTCACATGTTCATGGTCCACTCCAGACGGCGCCTACGCCACTCGTAGGTGCTACACAAGCAGCAGGGAACGAAAGCCTGCCACGAGTTCCGATTCATGCGAAAATGCCGGCCGAAAAGGGAATGCGATTGAAACGTCATGTCGCTTCGCATACTCCGAGGCGTCTTCGATCCCTATGACGAGCTCAACTAAACTTAAACACCATTTTTCGCATGGTTTGGCTTACATGGTCACAGCACTTCCAGCAAGCTTGGCCTTGCCCACACCCTCCCAGTTACTCCAGTTCCATCCCTCCACCCGTTGATCTCCTTGCATCGGCGCAGCCTGCAGGTGATTTTCCCTTCGGAGTATCCCCATGCTCCCCCAGCAATTTTGATGATGACACCCTCTGGGCGCTTGGAGACCCGCAAGAGGCTTTGCCTCAGCATGACGGACTTTCATCCAGCGCCTCGGTGTCTTTTCGGCGGGGGGCACTGTGACAAAAGGGGCGGGGACGATTTTCAGGAGTCAGTCTTTCCATGTGGAGATACAGGATTTTGAGGAAATGGTGACCGAAGAATGGAACAGACATGTAAAGACGATGTGGAATTGTTTCAATTTAATAAGCAGAAAATTGCAGTAATGTAGACTCTTGATTAATAGACCCACCATATGAAGACGATTTCCAATTCAATTGGGGGGGCTATGAATCAAGAGAGTACATTGAGCCACATGGGCAGCAGACAAGCTTCATTCATCTTGCAACAGTGCTCCGACTCGTGCATTTCACCCTGGAGACGCGACGTGGAACCACGCCACGCGACGGGAACGCACGTGAGGAGAGCTGGAATCCTGCTTGGTCTGTCGAGACGATCCTAGTGGGATTGCTCTCCTTCTTCATCTCTGAGGCTGAAGATGGCAACACGACCAGCATCCGGCGGTTCTTTTGGTAACCAGATGAACGGAGTAACTAGCTTGCTTGATCTAAAGATCAACAGTGAGTCATTAATGTTTGGATCATTTTGGATCCAAATGTTGGCTTTGAACAGTATCCTTACTTGGCTGATCTACGTCTACAGATGAACCCCCCTTCTCCTTCCAGGAGCGCGGCTATGGCTCGATGAGCGCCTCGCGGGAGGAGCGTGTGCGCCTGGCACGGCAGTCGCGGCGCAGCAACGCCGAGGATGAGCTCTTCCGGCAGCTGTTTCCGGAGTATGTGGAGAGAACGGAGGCCACCGGGCCACGTGTGCGGACAGATGAAGAATGAGGAAAGCACGAAAGCATGTCATAGGCGGAGGCCGCTCTTAGGCCATCGCCACCTGGTTTTAGTGACAGGTTGAGGATGGTGGGCGGTGCAAGACGGAGGACCGCAAGAGACAGTGGGTGGGACTCCTGAATATCACTAAGAGATGAACCAGTTCGAGGGGGAGACCCCCTTGTTGGGTCGGATTCCGGATCCAACACCCGAGTGGTGGCTGGTTGACGACGTGAACCATGCACTGACTTGGGGGGCCTGGTTTGATTTCTGAGGTCAGTACTCTGGGGCCTGGTTGCCCTGTTTGTTTCTTTTTTCTCCGGACGTTGGTGCTTCCCTGACCTGGCCCCGAAAGCGGATGACCGAAAGCGCGCTCGGAGCTTCCACCGGTGCGGTCGAGCGTCGCCCAGGCGGACTCACCGGAGACGTGCGGAGGCTCTGTGACCGCGGACGCAGAGCGGCCCGAGACAGCCGCGGAAAGAGCCGAGGATGCCGAGGATCTGGAAGCCGCCAACAGCACCTGGGATTTCTATGGGAAGAGCTCTGGAGTCATGTAATCAGATGTAATCAGGGGCTCTTAAGGTGTTTGGGGTTGTTTCAGCTGTTGAAATGCTGACATCTTGGCAATCAGGAAGAAAAGTGATGAAGGGAAAGCTCGTGCAAGATGATCATGTAGACTCTTGACTCTTGATGAATGAAGCCCCCATATGAAGAGGTTGCAGAACTCAAATGCAGGGGGGTTATTAAGCAAGAGTCGACATCAAGTAGTGTTTAATAGTGTTTGGTGGTGAGTTGATGAGCGGATTTGCCATTTTAGACCGCATTCCCTTGATACCATTCATTGGTCAAATGGAATTGGGCACTTAGATGCCGCACGCATCAACCTACTATATAAGAAAGACCACGCAACCCTCCAGTCTTCCCCTCACCGCTTTGACCTAGGCCGACGACCCTCCGTCTCCGAAGGATCGGAGGGCGTGGCGGAGTGTTGGATCTGCCGGGATGTCACTGGAGAGCCCTTGATCCAACCCTGCAGGCCGCGCAGTCGCGCGCGGCGCAGTCTTCGTCCCAGTCTTCGGTCTTTTGGTTTTTGGAAGATACGCAGAGAAAACGTGGAGTGGGATGACGCAGTCTTCGTGCGTTGTCACGTTGTGTGTGTGTTTTTTTCTTCTTTGAGGTGGCCCTGCCGCGGGGACTTGGAATGATTTGGGGGTTGGGTGGATTGGTGCTGGTTTGGTGCAAAGTACACCAACTTATCACTTTCCAGCTACTTGATAGAAAACATGAATTACCCAAGGCCGCAGAGTAGTAAAGTGTGAGGAAACCATGCTGAAGCCCATGCCGACACAAGTGCCACCTGCAGAGACTTACGAGCCCGTGGGGGGCTTGTCAACTGCAAACTCCAACAACTTCTGCTGGCTGCGCCCAAAACCAGAAACAGGATACAATTGATGACTCAAACCGTGATGCAAAAAACGGTCGGACCACTACAAAAAACACCAAAACGGTCGCACCAACGAGACCAATGATTCATCGGTGGGTCCTGGAGCAGTCCAGTCTGCTCCACGGGACGAGGTGCCGCGGCTCCATGAGTGGCGTCCATGCCAGCTGCGTGGAGGAGTGGATCCGCCGGCACCGCCGCAGCGCGCGCGACGACGCGCCGCCGCGGTGCTCGGTGTGTCATCAGCCGTACCAAGGCGAGGTGGGTGCGGAGGGGAGTGATGGATGGAACTGATACTATGAACTCCATCTGAAAAGGAGAGCAATGAACTGAGAACTTGTGGAATTTTGAGTGGAGATGAGTGGGCTTTATTGTTTTATTTTGGCGAACTCTCATGGGACAAATGCACCAAAGCGGCGAATTCTCACATGAAGAAGGGCTTCATCTTCTAGGGACTGAGTTAGGGGTCAACATCCAGATGGCGTTCGAAAGTTGCAACATGTTTAGGTCCACCAGCATTGTCTTTGTGCTTTTGAGACCTTAAACCCTCGGAACTTCTCCGAAACGAGCTTAGCGTTCGCCTTTTTCAAGCGCCTGTGCTGCTCACTTCTCGAGGCTCTGAGCGGGTGCCGGGCGTCCGGGACTTCGTCTCCCACAACTGCAGGCGCTTCCGACGGAGGTTCCGGACGTCCGGAACCTCCGAGAGAGGCGGTGTTCCGATGACTTTTTGCATTCTTTAAGTATACTCATGCAGCTTGTGATCGAAAGAAGATAAAAACAAAGAAAAACATACGTATGCTTAGGGTGTGGCCCGTTATATAATTACCAGTAACATCCAGTAACAGTTGGCCTTTGCGAACCATCATCGTCCACTGTCACCGGGAATGGGACACAATTATCAGCTCCGGCTTTCCTTCAGCTTCCCATGGATGACATGTGTGAGATCACTAACCACGTGTGCATATGTTTTCTTGTCGCGGAGGAGCATGTCTTAAGCCTAAAGCCGATGAGTCGAGTGGGGTCGCTGTCATATGGGTCCAGGGCCGGCGCCGCCCAATGTGGCCGCGTCTTGGTTCTGTTCGGCCTGTTGATGCTCTATCAGGTGCGCGATGCGCGAATGGTGTCGGTTCGGATGATCGCCTCAGTCTGCTGGGTCCATCTGTAGTCTGGCGGCATGGCCGTAGTTTGCTGGGAGAAGGGAACGAAGGTAAAGGCCACTGGACACCTGATATGACATATGTTTGTGTGGACTGATGCGGGCCTTCGACTCTCGTTTAATGTTTGATTTCTTGCATTTGCCAAACGTAGCGACATCTGAGAAGTAAATGGTGATCTATATAGGAGCAAGATGGAGCAAGCGTCCAGCTTGTCTCCCGATCTGCCACCCTCCAAGTACCCTTTCTATTTGGGATAAAAGCACTGCCATCAGTTCGTCAGTTACACTTCAAATTACGCAGAGGAAACCTCTCTGTACCCATCTATATATGAGACCCTGTTGTCGCACTTTTTTCAGGAGTGCGCGATGGATGGGAATTTATTGACTCCTTTGCGAGCTCTGGGGGTTACCTTCGTGGCTTTGGTGACCATTTATCGCCTTTGGGTGCTCTTCGTTTCACTTCCACAACATCGGGCTCCGCCGCAGCATTGGCTTCTGCCGCTTGGCAATGAGAGATACGTGGGCGAACGTGAAACCGAACGCACAGCCTTTTCAGCAGAATTGAAGTGCGCCCTCCTTGGAGAGCTTGTTTGATTTGGTTGGGCTCCCTACCAGATGTACGCCTGTAGTGAGTCAAACACATCATACGTTCCGCTTTCTGAGGTTTACCCGTCCAAAGAGTTGGCAAATGACCCTGGCCATCACAAGGGCCATGATATCCATATCCACATCCATCCACCCTGCCATCCATGACGCGGCTCGTCCCAGGCAACGGCTCTTCGTGCCGGGGCAGCAAGAGCTGGCCAAGCACCTCGCGGAGGCGATGTCCTTTGTCACGGCCGCTGGGCTCACCGAGCTGGGCTTTCGGTCGACGATGCAGACGAGGGAGGTATATGACTCTCAGCTTCCTGGTCAGATGGGCATGCCTTCTGACTTCCCCAGACTTCCTGGTGAATATGAATTTCTGGCTTGGGAGGTGGCGGGCTTCCGAACTATGCCCCCACTCCGCCGCCATGTGCCGCATCTCGACTCGGCTGTGGGTCATGGCACCCGGGAAACCCATCTGCCACGTCTCCGTCTCGACGTCTCCGTCGCGCCTCAGGTGCTGACTGTTTGGGTCATCGCCGGGCTCATCTCCTGGCCCTTCGCCGTGCCCTACGCCGTGGCCGCCGCCACGCTCGCGGCGAAGCTCGGGCTGGGGAGGTGCGCGACCGGGCGCGCGACCCGGGACGTCGCTTCGGTGGGTGGATCGGACGAGTGGACAACCTGCAGAAGCTCTGTTTTTTTTTGAAATGGTTTTTCCTTTCAAAAAGGAAGGGGTAGAACACAGGCCTCTATTTTCCAGGGAGACTGAGTCAGGGAGTCAGATAGAAATGAAGTTTTATAAGTCAACAGTCTGCCTGATAAAGCCTCTAGACTCCATAGAGGAGCCTAGGCAACGAAAATCAGGACCCAACCAATTGAAAGTCCTCACCAAGGGTCAGTCGCTTCTCTCGCCAGGCAAGCAGGTTGGAGGTGCTTGCCAACCAGAGACTGCTTAGTTCGCTCTTTGCGCGCAGCGCTTTGCATCCTTGTGTCGCTTGAAGCAAGACAAAGCCGCTCCGATGTGTCGAACGCAGATGAACTCGGGCGTGAAGGCGCTTTTTCTCAGACTCGTCTCAAGACACACCCACTTGCTTTAGACAGACCTGGCTGAATATCACGGCCCAGGTCCCCGCTGATCCTGATCTGGGCGACGGGCGAATTCCTCTGGACTGGATTGCTTGTTTTGGGTGACGTTTAGATTGTTCTCACTTGCATCAGCCGCACACGTGTCTCATGTCCCGAGCTAGTGCAAGTCTGTTCTTTTTCTTAGCAGGTTTTTGCAATGAAGTCCCAAACCATTGCCACGTTGACAACGCACTCAAGGAGATATCCCAGAGCATTGCATCCCTTGGGCCCTGCGCCACACTTGGCTTTCGCCATCGCAGCCACTTGGGTGGGGGAATTGCGTCACCCATTTTCTTCTTGCATGTTGCCTTGAGGGCGTTAAGGACAACATATAGGGTCGCCCTAATTCATAACATGGACACTAGCACAGACTTTCACCTGATCAGACATCAGCCAGTACCACTGAAAACGGTTTCGTGAAAAAACATGGACCGATGGTTATGGTTGCTTCTTACCAGTCTGGACCAGTTCACCACGAACGCTCGCGTTCGACCACGAATGCTCGCGTTCGGAGCTGAGGTGATTCCAATGGCCTGGACCCTGCAGAGCAACCTACCCTTGCTGATCCTTTGGGGGTGCCCTGGACGGTCGAAGGAGTGGATGTAAAGGATGGACCTAGGAATCTACTGTAAGTAGTATAAGACTTAGTAAGTCACCCAACTGTTGGACTGCACTTGGCATGGCCAGACGATGTTGGCAAAAGGTGCAGATGTGAACCAAGACTGTTCACAAAGGTTCTGGACTTGACTGATGACTGGCTTTGAGAAGGAAGCACGGTCCAGAGTCCAGCGGTGATTTTCGATTGGAATGTGAATTATAGAGCTGCAGCGTGGCAGTGGTGCTAGATCAATCTAGAGACCCGTTGCCAACGGGGCGTCACACTCTCATAGAATCCACCTCTTCCACTGGGGCATGGTTCATTCCTCCCTCCCTCCTTTGCTCCTTCGTTCCAGCATCGACAAAGGACACACGTGACCTTCATTGTGGGCGGTTTGGTGGAACTCTTCTGCCTGAAGCGATGGCAATGGAAGCGTGGACTGGCCTGGGTCATCGTCCTTCAGGCCGGAGATGAAGAGGCTGAACGGAGACAGATTTGCGGGAGTAACAGGTGCCTTACTAGTAGTAACTAGTAACAAGTGCATTGACACCAATCACCAAGCGGAAACGGCGGCAGCTGGTCGGAACGACCTCGGGTAAGGTTCAATACACAACATCGAAGCGGAGTCGTCCGTTCGCTTCGTTCGCCGGTGCACCGAGCCATGAACGAATCATACTGAACATCTATATGCTGCGTTTGCTTTCATCATAGGTTGGAGGCCATCGCTATGAGGTTGGAGGCCTTCAAAACCATTGCTATTAGGTTGAACCCGAAATCTTCGCTCGGATCTTTAGGTGACTTTGATTGGCTGCCACTGGGCGGAGCACGACGGTGAGGCTTTGGATATTCATCTCAGTTGTATGGACCCCCAAACAGATAGAAAAGTAGATCCTCACTAAACATGTATTGAACACCGTGCCACTATCCATTTGGGAATCAAGCCATTTTGGCTATTTTGGCTTCAGAGCTTTGAAGGATTAATAGGTCCCCCGGAGGATCTTCTTCCGGAGGACACAAAAGAGATCTACACTGTTCGGATTTGAACAGTCGTCATGAACAGGTGCAGCAACTGGTCCATAAACCTTCTTCGAGGCTCAGTTTGGTAGGCAAATGAGTTGGGTAGCATGTCGGCCGTATTTCGGTCTTATTGGGCATCGGTTCGGGTTGGCCTTTCCCGGTTCAGACAGCTGCCTGGAATCCTGTTCGATCCAACCGTCCGATGATCGACCGAGGCTACATCAGCAACATCTGTGTCTTTCCGCAAGGCGAAGAAAGGGTGAACAGAGCAGACCAAGATTATTGCAGAAGCCCCTGGAATGCAACCCCGGGTGTGTTGTTCGCCGAGCTCTGGATCAGTACACTTGTACACTTTGTCTTCGCTTCGCCCCGACAGAAACTGGCGCCCAGGGCGCACAGGATATCTTTTGGATTTTCGCGCTGTCAAACGTCTAGTATTGACAGATATACATCAGCATTTTCTTGAACCGGCATGCATGCTGCAGCGTCTTGAGCGCCAGGTGTGGGAAACAGCACGCAGTCCGCGATCCTAGTATTAGGAGCGATGCACTTTTCATGGGCGCTGGGTGAAAGAAACCTGTACTGGTACGTGGGAATGCACTTTCTGTGGGGTAGCAGACCTCAATGGCAAAGGTGTGATTCTTGTAATAGATCTCCTTTGGTGGCCAGAGATAGAGCACAACTCCATGCCAATTCGGCTGGTCCATTTGTTGATGTTGAAGGGATCTCATAACATCGAGTCCCCTTCCTCAGGGGAGGCTATTCAGCGGCTATTCATTTGTGGGTTGACAGCTTCCCAATGAGTTCAACCATGAATGATGAGGGCCCTTCTTGGTTTGGTTTCTGCTTTAAGTGTTTTAGGCCGAGAAATTGGTGCCTTGGTTTGGAGCGCAACCAAGAAACTCCACTGTGGGATTGGATATGATCGGATGGAAGGGACACCCTGCACCATCTAAATTCTGAACCCCTCAGAACACTTGTGGGCCTCAGAGGGCTTAGAACTTTTCCTTCGCGCGACGAAAATAATGTTTGGACGACGACAATAATGACTCGCGAGTCCCGTAGGTTTGGGTGTTCCTAGATTATTGCACCCAGGGCAATGATGTGGAGTGGTTGGTTTCGAAGGGTTCTTTTCACAAAGCAGTGTGTCATTTCCGTGTTATGTTCACCTCTGTGATTAAAGCTTGCAGGCTGCGGATCTATCTTACAAGATCTTACAAGAATATGTCCCTACTTCAGGACTTTGGTTTTGGCTTCTTGTCCAGCTTCGTTGGCGGCATGCGTCTGACTTATCCTGTTCGGGTCTGGTATGCTCTTGCGTCGGCTGCTTTGGCCATTTGAACTTCGAATCTTGGTGACTTTTGTTCTTCCATCTATGCTTTTACCCCTTCCGGCGGTTGACTCAGTGTAGAGGGCAATGTTGAAGTGGACACCCTCATTCTTTAATGGTAGCAGGCCCGTGCGCAGCACAAAAGTAGGATCAGTGTAGAGGGCAATGGTGAAGTGGACACCCTCATTCTTTAATGGTAGCAGGCCCGTGCGCAGCAAAAAAGTAGGATTGACATTCTGGCCACAGGAACTTCCTGCTCTTGGCTTCTTCTCGTTCTGATGCTTGCGCTAAAGATCAACTGGGAGCTTTGCCGACAGTTTCTCGGTGCTGCAGATTTCGTGATATTTTGTTCAAGGGATGCACTCCGTTTCTTTTCACCATGGTAACCTTGATGGGGATCTGGGAAACGCTTGGTATTGGACATTGCTCAGCAGAACAAAGAAATTTCAATCCCCAGGGATGCCATTTGAACATTCCCGACACCAGCGACACAGCAAACCAAGCCCAGAAACAGCCATCCCAACATCACAAACATCCATTTCGAAGTGCAACATGAAGGAAGCAATTTGGTGATGAGAAAGGGGTGGTATGAGTATGTACTGTACCAATTCCATTTGACATGCGGGGATGGACTGACTACAAGAGTTGGACCAACAAACCATGGCTGACGTGGCGTGGCTGACATCTACTCCCAGATGGATGCTGAACCAAACATTTTCCCAGTCACCTTCCAGGAGCCCCTACTGTAGTAGCTTCTTGTTCCTAGTAGTATGGCCAGGAGCCCCTAGTAGCTGCTTGCTCCCAGTAGCGATGCCCTTTGCTCCTAGTAGCGTCCTTGCTCCGTTCGTAG